GAGCAGCAGCTGTTTGAGCTGTTCAATGAACATGTCCCATTTGTTTAATATAGCTCGCGGCAGCGCTGCAATTAGGGAACGTGGGTGATATTTTCATGCATTTTTATTGTAGCTCCCTCACAATATTATAAAATACTGTTCATACTCTAAAAATGCATTATGCACAGAATTATTTTCTTGCATTTTTGTAGAGCATACCTGCTAAAACACAATAAAGATCTAAACATTTATTGTCCCCCACCCCATATTAGGACTAAAGGTCAAAGAAGGATTCATGTCAACATCTTCATGCCTCTACCAGCAGGTGACAGCCTTGTAACATTTTCTGAGATCTTATTTACAAATTATTTTAACATCATTTATTGCTTTCCAGCATTCAAGTAAGCGTAGATTCACATCCATCTATATAGCGCCACTTGCTTTGGTCACTCAGCTCTCCTAATACTTTTAAAAATCTTCAGCCTCAAAATAAAGCTGTTTTCTCTGGCCCACATGAAGCCTGAGCATGAGCTACAAACATCAAGGTTGAAACGCAGAGGATGCTGGGAAGCTAATGAGCTTCAGATAAAAGCATCTGTCTCAAAGTGGAGTCATAATGGATAAAATAAAATCTTTGTCCCTGTTGGCTTCTTCACTTCCAGCATCCATTTGTTTTTGTTTTTAGTGAAAAGATAGTAAGGTTGGATTGAATGATCCCCTCTGTCTGAATCATTTACTTTGAAATTTCACTTGGAAACCTAAAATTAAAAAATAAAAAAGATTGAAAAAATCAAATCAAGCAACAAGTTGTGTGTGGGGAAAATCCTGTTTGGTAAACGTTTCTGTTTATCTAAAAAAAAGTGAATTTACACTTTATTAGGCCCAAATAAATGGATCTTTATTAGCCTTTAGTCTTCTATCTTAGCTACATGTGTTATGTGTCTTCCAAAGAGAAGTGCATAAACTGCATAAATTTTGTTGCTGTGGCTCAAATTGCTCCTTTCCAATGCAACATATCTGTTATTTCTAACAAACAAAACCCACAGGAGGTATAATGGGTTTGACGTACAGTCATGTCCGAAATGAGTAAACTAATGAGCTTTTTAAAAAATGTTTACCAGAAGCTAAAGTGTAGTGCTAGCCAAAATTGTCCCAAATTATGATAGTAACAATATGAATTATGCTTTTGTCTTCTTATTTCAGCCAACAGGTTTTTATTGTGGTCTCTGTATTCTGCAAAATATTTCCTTCTAGCAGCAGTTTGGCTTGTTTATGTGATTTAATGGTGAAATAGTATCTTTGAAAAGAGCAGTGGTTGTGTCACTGTGGTTCTGCCGAGGCAATCCTTGTTCCATCGTCTGCTGAAAATGAACTCATGAACATTGATATCAAACTGTGACAAAAAGGTATTTGGTGTCTCGGAAGTTTTTATGCTTTTTAAATGATTTTTGTTGGTCAGACTGGTCGAGTCTAAACGTTTTAGGTAGAATCACATTCTAAAGTATTGACAAATTGTTTCAGAAAACGTTTGTGCCATACAGGTTCAAGTAGAGCAGGATTTGAGAAACTGATTGTTGCCCCAACAAAACTCTTACAGAAACTGCTGTTGACTTTTGCCTCATTTGTTGATTATGGCAAACTTTAGATAACTTATGAGTTTATTTAAGCTTATGGTTATATTTTATGCAAAAATATTTCAGTTTCACGATTTAACACATTTTCAAACACCGTAAATGTGTTGTATGTTCTGTAAAAACATGACTTGGTTTATATCTGTTGGTAAAGTGCCTTGGTTATGTTAAAGTATCTAATACCGTATTTACAATGTAATGCACTGCATCAATACTGTTTTTGGTTGTGTCTATGCCTTCCAAATACCCATTTTTATCCTTTTTTTAATCTGCAAAGTTTATGTAGCCTTAATTAAAAGAAAAATGTAAAAAAATATATATTTTTTTAAATACAGAGAAAGTTTGGTTCTAAACTGGTGCCTTTGCTGAAATACAGTACATGTAGGGGTTGTGGTCTGTGGTTTCCTAGTGTCTGGCTCCATCTTGTATTGCATTTATGTCTTATGTTCTCAGTCTGTCTTTGGCATCTGTGATTATTCACAAATGCCTTCACTTTGTCTAATTTGTGTTTTGTGTATTTAAGCTTGTTTGTTTGTCTTATCCCTTGTCCTGGTGTTATTTGTACCCTGATGATGACCAGTCTGCTCCTTGTGAACTCTTTGTTGCTCCTTGTAAGTTTTTTCTGCCCTGTCAGCCTTTTCTTTTTGTAAATACTTTCTTTAATTATTCTCCCGAGTCCTCAACTGCCTGCCTGCACCACTGGGTTTACCAGCACCAGCCCATTATGACAGTACACTATAGAAACATTAGAAAAGTGCACAGCATTTCTACAGTTATAGAAAGTAAAAATATAAATCTCACAGTTTTTCTAAAAGAGATTTTATGTTGCAGCGTTCACTTGTTTCCAAAATAACTCAATTCAACTTGAAGAAGTGCTGAAAGTCCGAACAGTTTGACACGTTTCAGAGTTAGAACACGTTGACCAACACAGTTTGCAACCCAGAGCTATTCTTTACAAAACAGCTGGAACCTGAGCACCCTGAACCCACTCAGTTTGACCGGTTGCTGTTTTGGGTCGCCTAACTGTGTTGAGGATCTGATGGAAGTTAGACGTGGGGTCAAGTGTTAGAGGTTAGTGGTCACATTACTGACAGCATGTGCCAACACGTAAGATCTCCCTCAGCTGTCTGCCTAGCCTCATCTTCTCCCTACTTTTCCTTTAGATGATTCAATTTGATGTAACACTTCAATGTAGAGAGGTTTCCTGGTTGCAACAAGATGTTTAAAATTGGGAAAAAGAGAAAATGAGGCCATTTAGAAGCTGGAGTCCACTCACAGACAGACTTGTTTTAAAGAAAACTGTGCAAGTATTAAATATGGCAGCCCCACCCCAGCAGCAAAAAAATGGCACAAGTCAGGATTAGATCTAAACCACCACATATGAACACTTACACAACACAAATACAGGAAAAGAGAGGACAGCCACATGAAAATCACTGCAGTTTATTTTATTTTAAAATACTCTTTTCCTTTTTTTCATTTTGTTTTTTTTGACTGTAACGTTGTTGCCATGCCTTCAAAAGTCGCTACGTCTAAAACATCTCAGGCCTTCAGAATAAAAGGCCTACATCTTTTGACTTTAAATAAAACTCTTTAATAATAATTCTAATAGTATTCATTTCCTTTCTGTAATTTTATCTCATTTACAAAACAAAAAAAATTACAATATCTGTGGCAAACAAAACAAAAATGGCGGCTCGAATAAAATGAAAATATACAATGCGAGTTGTTGATATATGTTGTTTTCCCATCAGCAGGATAAAAACATAATAATAGTCTATTTTCATAAATGACAACATGTGTTAATTACATAATTTACCTGAACTGTTGTTCCTATGTAAATATGTAATGATCTATACTAGAATTTCATTCTTGAAAGATTTGTAAAGCCCCAAAAGACCGAGCGAGGAGTTTGCTGCTTGTATGAACACTCCTGTGCTGGTTAAACCAGCTTCCGTGTAATCTGGCACTCAGTTGGGCTTTAGGTGACGCTGATGAATACCCAGGGTTAGTTTATTATCGGGAAGAGAAAAGATTTCCAGAGGGGGCAGTGCAGACTCAGACTCAATCCAGGATGAAAAGAATCCAGTGTGTACACATTCTTTTGCTTGAAGAAATGTTATTAACCTTTGGCACAAAGTTAATTGCTTTTTTTTTCTGCTGTGGCTTAAACGCTGCATTAGAATTCGTAGGGTTACTTAAAAAGCTATATATTTGCATTATTAGGGTGTTTAAATCCTGATTTTTAACCCTCAGAGGTGACAGTCATTAATAGTTTAACAGATTCTCCCCTTAATTGATGTTCTGGTCATCATTTAAAAATTACCTTAATCCTACAGGAATATAAAAGTCTGGACCATCAGTTTTAGATCCATTTTAGACTGATTTCTCCCCCCTTCAACCCCCCGTCTGAAGCTTTTGAGAGCTCGTTTATAATGATAGCTACAAGCAACTGTGCAATTCTGCAGAAAGAAAATGGGACAAAGCTTCATGAATAAGTGGAATAATTGTTTGAAGATTTAAAAGCTGGGTTTCCTCGGAGATTTTACTGATCTTTTTAATACGTCCTATGTAATTTTGCATGACAAGTTTGCCTCGCAGGTGCAGATTTAAACAGAGCTGCATTGAATGCGGGGCGATAAAACTTCATACACGAATCTGAGCAACAAAAACAGAGTCAAGTTTAGAATTACATCTAAAAATAGAGAAAATCATGAATAACTGACCTCTCTTTTTTTTAACCACCTTCTTGACAACATCTCTACAAGTTCTGCATGCACTTGTGGACTGAAACCATGCATGTCACATGTTTACGTATCTTCTATCTGAACAGATAGAAACCACGGTTTTTGCATTTCCTGTTAGACTTCATGACACTGTGATCAAAATGTTAAACAGATTTTGGATTCCACGTTCAGCAGATTTATTTTTCAGGTCTTTGAGAAAACATCAATGAGCATCTCTGCGCAGTTACTTGACATCCAAATTGATGTTGGATTTGAGGAGTCTGCATGTTGCCTACAGGAAACTGTTCTCATCATGGCATCATGGGAGGGGGGAGTGTGAGGGGGGTGGGGGTTACCAGGCAGGACACTGAACAGGGAGGACTTTAAGTAGTGAAGGGAGGCGAGCACATATCCAAAATAACAAAAAGGCAATAGGGACATGGAGACATTTACACGCACAAAGTGCACAACATCTGTTGTTATTTACAAGTACAGCAGTCCTTCAAGTTTCCAGTCGAACGAAAACAAAAAGTCAGATTTGAACACAGAAGATGCAATAACAGCTGTGTGGGGGGGCAGGTACAACAGCGCATGTCCATGTTCTCCCTGCTTTTTACAAAACTGTACACACAGGTGCACTTTACTTGTTAAGATTTACACTCCAGGGAAACAAAAAGGCGCCTCTGACATCTCACATGGCTTCTGTTCTGACCACAGGAAACACGTTCACGTGCACATTATCACGCACCTACAGGTATGCGTGCAGGTGACAATACACAGGCACACAAAATATTATATCTGTACACACTGACACTCATTCCCCCATACAGCAAGCACAATAATGTCCTCTAGGTGCCCCCAACAGCTCTGCAGGTGGTTCACTCAGACGTGTGTGCGTTACCAGTCTGCATCCTCCTCTATGTAATAATCGGGTGTTGAAGTACCATCAAACAAACCAGGGTCCAGAGACTTGCGTTGCTTTCCCCGGGCAAAGACGCGGGACAGTGAGCCCAAGCCCATCTTCTCTTTCTTCTTCTTACGCTTCGCCTCCTCCAGATCTTCTAGGGACTGATGGGAGAAAGAGGGAGAGGGACACCAGAGGGAACCAGAAGATGAATAGAGGAGCAAAGGGACTGAGTGATGCAAGAGACGAAGTTAGTGAAGGGGTGCGGAGAGGGTATTAAAGATCAGAGGAGATCACAGCACACGAGGAAGGTGACAGTTTTCATGCTGCAGGACATGCACTTAAACCAACAGCCACCGCTGGATTTTACAGACGCTTCGAACCACATGTGCAAAGGAAGCGCACAACAGACAGTGTGGGGCAAAAGTGAACGAAGCTAGGAAGGCTAAAACAACAGCAGCCAGGCCCCAAAGACGGTCAGCAGTTACCGCGAAGGAGGTGATTACTTGGGAGGGTGCAGTGGTGGGCAGCCCTTACATTGCAGAGCGAATGAGTCCGATGACGAGGTGAGTTGATATCGCTGGGCGTTGACGACCGATCTCCCTCCATGGCAGAGGCGTCAGAGATGATGGAGGGCTGACGCGAGTGGCATGGGCTCACCCGCACGGCAGCCACTAAACAGGACGAGAGAGGGGAGAGAGATATGGCTCGTTTCTGATTTGGGTGTTTGGGACACCTAATATGTACAGGCAGTGGTGGAAAGAGTACTGAAAATTTGTACTCAAGTACAAGTACACTGCTTAGATTGTACTCAATTACAAGTAAAGTACTGGCGTTATAAAATACTCAAGTAAAAGTGCAAAGTACTCTTCTCAAAAACTACTCGGAGTATTAATTACTTTTTAACCAATTGATGTTTTATTGTGTTGTCAATAGAAAGCATTCAGTTTGATTTCCTGTATATAATACGTTACTGTATATAATACTGTATATAATACTTTACTGTATTTAACAGCTAAATTCAAAGCTCATTCCTCAGACAATCAGCAGCTCCATCTTATTTTAGTACCAGACAAACCGATGGCAGTGACAACATCTAAGATCTTTGCATACTTAGCCAAACTAGTAACCCACACAAACAAACATAAAAAGTAATATCATACATGTAGCTGTAAAACCTCGTGTACCGCAATATGTTTTTGAGATTAGATGTTGAAGTCTTGTAAACTGTTATCACTGTAGAGATCAAACAAAGTGTGCATCTGGACGCCGTCTCCTCTTCTCCCTCTGTACATGAAGCATTCCTCCAGGTATGGCCACGGGCACTCGTCCTCAGCCTTTACCTTATCATTTCTCCGTCTCCATTTTAGCTTTTTCTCCAAATCTTTGGTCCATAAATGACTCTCTACTCTATGGAGTTTTCCTTTGGTTATGTCATAAGTATTTGGTGTGTTTGTGATTTCAGAGCCTTATTGGCTACAAAGATGCAGATGAACGGTTTAATATTAATTCAAATTGCGGCCGTACTCAGTAGCGACTCCTGATTTTAAAAGTAGTGGAGTAAATTACATGGTTTAAATTGTACTTAAGTGTGAGTAAAATTACACACTTGAAAGAAATATGGGCACTAGAAAAGAAAGCTAGCTAAAGAAATAATGGATACTTGTAATTTTATAAGTTTTTTTTTTTCATTCATTCAACCTTTATTTAGACTGGATTTACCTGTCTAAATAAAGGTTGAATGAATGAAAAAATACTCATAAAAAGTACAAGTAGCCAAAAAAATCTACTTAATTACAGTAATGCGAGTATTTGTTATTTGTTACTTCCACCCCTGTGTACAGGCAACAAAACAAATCTCATTTGCTTTAGCTCTGGAGCACATTTAAATGAAAAAAATGTATTTAAAATTTAAAGTAAGCCAAAAATATATTTGAAACCAGCTGCAGTTGCTAAGCAACAGTACAAACAGCTTGATAGAGGCTGAGAGCATGTGTGCATTTACCTAAAAGACTGATCTGTAAAGTATAACTTTTTGCATTTCGATTTGGTGTTTGTGACTGTTCACACGTTGTCCTTGTTTTCTCTCCTGTGTCTCTGACTTTATTCAAATGTTCCCAATTAACAACCAATATGTGAGCCTTTAAAACATCTGTGAACATCTATGAATTTGATTTCTGATGCCTGCAAGGCTATAATTTGGAAAAATCTTTCTCTTTTATAATGTTGAATGTTGCAAGGTCATTTTTGTACTTCGTTTAGACATTTTTTTAATTTATAAAAGCTTCAACTGCTACATTGAAAGGTTATAGAATAGTGTTTGCATAAACTAACTGACTATGTTTTAATATGGCAACAATTCACTTGGGTGTTTGGTTTTCAGACTTGTCAGTTTGATCAGAATCAGTCTGTCCAAAGTGAAGTCATTCAAAGAGCTATCACTTTAAAATGTAGATTTATCTGTTTGAAGATCCACTTCAGTTTGACTGCGCTACAGAACAAAGAACCAACTGAATTTAAAATATGATTTTATATTGTATTTTTAGACAAATGTCTGCATGTTTGAGCGTTGTGACATGCAGTTTCTCTTTTGACACCTGCAGCGTACGTCAGTCAAAGGGTGCAGTACAGCAAAGAAGGAAAATCTATGAGGGGACTGAACATTGAGTAAAAACATTTTTTTTTGCAAATATATATTCTGTATGTCAATTTAAAGTATTCCATACATTTTGCTCACAGGTTGTACTTAACATGCAAGTGATGTTTCAGTTTTCAGCACCGTTTGTAAAAAAAAAAAAAAAAAGGGAAACACAAGGTGAATGACACGACACAGCAGGAGCATCATCATACAGAGCAGATGGAAAGACTGAATGTGTCTAAAGCAGCTTCACGTGAACATGCAGAGTAAACAAAGGTACCACCACCTCATGGTGCTCAGGTTGTCGTAGGACGTGGGTGTAAATTTGTGCCTATGTACCTTGTCTGTCCGAGGGATGCACTGAGTGGACGTAGAGGGTCTGCTGACTCTGTCTGATGGCCGCAGTCAGGGGAAGATCAGCCTGCATCACCCACTCCTGGTTGTTGCCGTTGACGACCGCCTCTGTCGGCATGGCCAGGGAGTGACGCTTGGGCACATCTTTCGTCAGGGTGGCTAGTGACTGTTTGGCCTAAAGGAGAGACAGACACATGCATTCTGAGCATGCACCTGGGAGGAAATCTTCATTTTGGAGTAAGCTTGTGCTTCTTTCAAACCACTAACATTTATAGTGTGAATGTTTATCAAGTAACCAGACTATTGTGATCCAATTTTTCTTCTGTACATTTTCCAGCATCTTTCTAGTTCAACAATGTTTGTGCTATTTCAACAAATCTTATTCAAAACGTTCAGCTCTTTCAGGACAATCTTGCTGAGACTTTTGGTATTGGTGCAACTTTAGCTTTTTGACATATTTAGCCTTTTCTGCCATTTTTTTCTTCATGAAAAAAAAATGAGCTCATTTTACATCCTTTAAATCTTTAGAACCTTTTACTGTTCCTTTCACATTTTGTTCCGGTTCAGTTTCTTTCAGCTTCCTTGTGCAAATTTTAACTTTTTTCCAGCTCCTTTCAGCTCCTTTCAGCTGTTTTGTGCTTCTTTCTGATTTTTTTCGGTTAACTGCAACGTTTTTTTTGTTGTTGTTGCTTTTTCTAACTTCTTTATGCTAATTTCAGTTTGTTATGCTCCTTTCAGTTTATTTATACAAGTTTCAGCTTTTTCCGCCGTTGCAGCTACTATTTAACTGTTTTATTCTAATTTTAGCTTTTTTTTTTAAAGTTTTTGGCTAATTCCACTTTTTTTTTTTTTGCACTCATTTGAACTATTTTTAGCCTAATGAGGAAAAATCTGTGCTCTCTCCACTTCCTTCTAGTAATTTAAGCTTCTTTTTGCCTTTTAGCTACTTTTCAGATGTTTTTTCTTTTTTTTTTTTTTTTGCTAATTTCAGCTTATTTCAGATCATTTCCACTTTTATGCTCATTTTAGCTTCTTTCGGCCTAATAGGACAAACGGGTTATTTCTGCTTTCTTCTGCTAATTTCAGCTTGTGCTACCTTTTCAGCTACCTTTTTTAGCATTTTTTACCTACCATAATTTCAGCTGTTTTCAAATAAATTCTTTTTTTTCATGGTAATTTTTGCTACTTTCAGATTAATTAACTCCTTTTTGCTAATTTCAGTTTGGTATGCGTCTTTCAGCTTTTTTCTGCTAGTTTCAGCTTTTTCTGCTCCTTCAGCTATCATTTAGCTATTTTGATGCTAAGTTTAGCCTTTTCAGTTAATTCCACATTTTTTAGCTCATTTCAGCTCCTTCCACTTCCTTCTGGTAGTTTAAGTTTATTTCTGCCTTTAAGCAACTTTTCAGCTATATTTTTGCTCATTTCAGCTCTTTTTTTTTTTTTTTTAGCAAATTTTCTAATTTTTGTGTTCATTTCCCCTAATTTATACCAAATTCAGTAAATGTGTGTTCTTTCTGCTTTCTTCTGCTAATTTAGACTCGTTCTTCTATTCAGCTACATTTCAGCATGCTTATTAGCTAATTTCAGCAGTTTTTCAGTAAGTTCTGCAAAAAGCATTCACACTGTATTTTCACAGGAAATGCAGTTTCTCTGTTAGAATTTTCTTCTGCATTATGTGCACACAGCAGAATCTGTGTCTAGATTTCTGTGGGTTTGCTTCCTGCCTTTTCACTCTGCTTCTATCCTCATGAAAAATGCAGCCGTTTTATTGTTCTCCTTTCTGTTGTGCAAAATCTCTCACCACCATCCCTGTGAACGCTGATAAAAGTAAATATGTTGACAACAAGAAGAAAATTTTGTATAAAGCATAGAATATTTGGAGGAGGCGTTTGCTGTTTGTTGCCATGGGGGAGGAAGTTGGAGGTTGGTGGTGTGTAATAACAGAGAATCTGAAAACAATTAATGCGTTCTATAACTTTATTAAAAACATTTGCTTTGAGGTGCCTTTGAGCGACAACAGTAAGCAGCCGGAGCCTTGAGGGTTTATTATGTGTTGGCAAAATGTTCACTCTTTTCTTTCTGGTTCTGCATTTCCTGATTAGCTGTGATGTGTTGCTGTTTAAAATTGCTTGAAATGTTGTTACTGTGCAAATCTTATTGCCATGCCAAACACGGAGAGGCTGCAATATACCACCACAATCAGCTTCAACGCAATCAAGTCTCCTCCCCAGCCGTCAAACGATTATCAGCCACACTCTTTGACATGCAAAACAGAAGACCGTCACAAATCTTTGGGCTAATTAGTCACTGGAAATTTGTTTTTCAGTTATTGTTGAGAGCTTTTTAGCATCAAATTGAATCAAAACAGAGAAAAACACTGCAGGGTTGCTGATGTTAGGACCACCAGGATCAGTGAGGGTGGGCTGAGGGTTAGTCAAAAACGTGCACCTGAGAAAGAGAGGAAAGGAGAAGGGGCTTTCCAAACTGACGCACAAACCACAGTCACCAAAGTCACAGGTAGGAGACATTTTCTACGACGGAGCTTTAGGGCCATGCTAAAGAAAATAAATTACGAACGAGAATAAAGTCATAGTATTACGAGAATAAAGTCATAATACAGAGTCCCTCATTTGTCGCTGGTGTTTGGGACCATGCCCACTGGCCATAAGTGGAAAACCGCAAAGTAGGGATACAATAGTTCAAGTTCAAGTTCAGTAAACTTTGTCATGACGTGCCAGGCTGAAGTCACACTCATTCATCACCTGTTACTCCCAGTCTCCCTCCTTAAATAAACAATTCAAATTTAAATGCTGTAACATTTGAAATAAATGATCCATACTGCATGGATTATTTCTTTAAAATATTTAAAAGTATTTAAATTTAAATTGTAGAGAAGAGAAGTGCAGCAGGACATCAAAAGGGATGTCACACAGCTTCAGCTCTGAGGCACGGAGCAGAAATGTTCTTCTTGATCAATTACACTTCAACAACTAAACATAGAAGTTCTAAAATAATTAACAATAACTTTTAACACTTTTATATTTTGTGATTATGACGATTATTACGATGTGACATACTTTGAATTTTAAGTTGGAAGACAAAAGTCGATCGGTGCATCTGGACAGCAAAGGGTTAACCCTTCACAAAGACAGCAGGAAAAATGTGTGTGCGGAGGAGATCAGCTGATCAGCTGCAGGACTCGCATTGGAGGATGTCCACCCAGGATGTATTACGGATTTATTCTCATAAAATTATGAATTTATTCTCGTGATATTTCAACTTTATTCTCATAATGTATTTTTTTTCCCCCACTTAGCGTGGCCGTAAAGCGCTGTCGTAATTTTCAGGGAGAGTGAGGTTCACATGTTAAAACTAGGGGGGCCAGTCTTACCGCCATGACCCTAGGAGAGTAGTCCCTGTCCACAAGGCGTTCAAACACTCGGAACTCCATTCTCTGATTGACACAGTTACTCATCTGGGGGGTTGGAGATATGAGCAAAGGCTAGACATTTAAGAGCTTTCTATATTTTAATCAAATGTCTAAAACAGTAAAAGTGACAAACAGTTGTTTTATGCACTTATAAAAGAGCAATCAGAAACCCTCGGTTTCAGTATGTCCTGTGAATGTTTGGGAAAATGAAAATCTTTTTAAACAAAGAAACTTGTAGGACAATTCTATTTTCTGTTACATTTTTGTTGCTAATTACATTTTTGTACAAAATATTTGCCATTCATTAGCAACTTCCATGACCCATTTTCCTTTAAGGAAATTTCAGAACAGTAAAAATATGTGTTCTATAGCCGACTGCATATTCTGGTAACTGTCTAAAAATAAATACTGTATTTTTTGGACTATAAGGCGCACTTAAAATCCTTTAACTTTCTCAAAAATCGACAGTGAGCTTTATAATCAGGTGCGCCTTATGTATTAACTCTGGTTGTGCTTACTGACCTCAAATCAATTTTATGTGGTTATTATGAATGAGTTGAATAAAGTTTGACTTATCTGACAGTTTTGTTTCACTTAATACGCCTTATAATCCGGTGCACCTTATAGTCCGAAAAAGACGGTAGTGCATTTTTTTAATTTATTTTTTACAAAGTCTGTGTAAGTTGTAAGCATGAAAAAAGACATTTAGTTTTCCCGTTTTGTTGTGATGAAACCAAAATCTTAAAATTATGATTAATAGCTAAATAACTTAGATATTTGGATTACTTTTAAATGTTTTATTTCATGCCTTTTGCAGTTTGTTTAGTCCTTTTAGCTAAAGTAAAATAAGCCGTTACAGTTTTAGATTTCTACATATATTCTTCAACCCTGTTACGCTACAGTAAGCCTTGAAAGTGGCTGCCTGACTGAGTGGGATCATCTCCTGTCTGCCCTTCGGTCTCACCATGGCGAGCTCTGCCTCCAGCTCCTTGATGCGGTTCTCTCTGAGGTCGAGCTGGGAGCGCAGCATCCCCGTGTGCTCCGTGGCTTCCTTGGTCTGTCGTCGCAGGTCCCACTTCTCTCTTTCCAGGAGGTCTTTCTCTTTCGCCAGAGCCTTTACTGCGTCCTCGCTCTCCTGGCAGACACACACATCCTGATGAATAGGTTCACAAGTAGAACCCAACAATACTTAACCTGGAAAATTATAACACCAGTTAGGCTATTGTTTTCTAAAGTGACATTTATGAATATTTAAACAAAATCGCTGCCTATTTGGTCCATCAACATTTCCAGAACATGCATTAAAGTTAGTATGCATGTTCATGGTCATGCTCAATAATCCACGTAGAAAATCCAACAAAGTTCAGTCAGGTCACGGATGGTTTCTGTTTTTTATGTTAAGATGTTTCATCCTTCATCCAAAGGACTTCGTCAGTCAAAGGAGACACAACAAACCCAATCCCACAAGCAGCACACCCAAATAGTGGGCCAACCAGTTTGAAGGTTATAAGATAGTTTCTGGGGCCTGTCCTCTCCCCTGTTGACTCCTCTGAGGCAGCCATAACCAAAGTGGTTCAAAACATCAAAGTTCATGCTCAATAATCCAGGTAAAAAAATCCAACAAAGTTTAGTCAGGTCATCTGGATGGTTTTCTTTTTTTGTTGAGACGTTTCGTCCTTCATCACCATCTTATCTCCAGGAAACTGGTTGGCCCACTATTTGAGTGTGCTGCTTGCGGGACGGAGTTTGTTTGTGGCTCCTTGGACTGATGAAGTCCTTTGGATGAAAAACAAAATGTCTCAACAAAAACAAAAGAAACCGTCCAGATGGCCTGACTGAACTTAGTTGGATCAGTGTGATTAAACACACAACCTGTTCCAATTGAAACAATAGGACTGGACAGTGTATATTTGACATGCACACGCTTACCAAATATTCTCATCCACACTGAATCGACTCACTGATTTTACTGACTGAGCTTCACTGACGATTGTTCACGGATTGCGTTTGCCCAAGAGCTATTTTGTGCAACGTGCATCCAACGAGCACAGCAACAAAAGTAAAAGGTTGCGTTTGTTTTATGGATTTATTCATTTTCCTGCATGCATGTGTGAACGCTGGTGTGGGTGCCATACTTTTCTGTGCTGCTCGTAGTTGCGTATGAAGTCACGGAGCTGCTCCTCCCGGCTCTCCAGCGTGGCGTAAAGCTGCTGCATCTGGTTCACCAGATCGGCCTTCTCCGCCTTCAGACGCTTTCGATCCGACTTCATGGCTGCGAGAAAGGTGGGGGAAACGTGATGTGAAGTTCACAAGTTGACAGTTTTTCTAACGCACAACTAGAATAATAATCTCCTTCAGATATAAACTGCGTGAGTAAAAGCATTAAATATACATGCTGCTGCTGGCCCAACATTGTGTGACTGCATGCTGGTAAGGAGGTGAGTCACATACGATCTTGTCTTCCCTTTGCGTCTCGCTTTGCAAGAGACAGAAACTTACTTTTCATCTATCTCTCCCCCACAGACTGTAATCCTCTGGCACCGTGCCCACGCATGAGGGTAAAAAAGTACAGTCCACAGTGGTTATTCAGATGAGTGCAAATTTTCTCAAAGCCCACAATTGCTTTCTTTTCCAAGGATTCAAGGTTCTTTGTCATTCACATCACATGTGGTACATGAGGTGGAACAAAACTATGTACACAGCGTCCAGTTACATCCAACAAAAATACAAATTGTAAAGAAAAACAGTAATAAGATCCAAGACATGAACAAAGAAATATGCTAAACTAAGAATACACTAAGCACTACTATTACAAAACAATAAAATAAAATCAGCAGCATGAGATCATGGATGGTCAGCAACACTTACTAACAACCAAGTGGCATGCAGTCATTTTTCACAGTGATAATCCTGACTAGGAATTCATGAGTCCAACGCCCTCAGGGTAGAAGCTGTTCCTCAGTCTAGTGGTTCTGCACTTAATGCTCCTCAACCTTCTGCCTGAGGGGAGCGGGGCAACAAGTGTGTGTGCTGGGTGAGTGGGGTCCTTCATGATGCAGGTGGCCCTCTTCCTGCATCTGGAGGTGTAGATGACTGATGGTGGGGAGACTGACTCCAACAGACTTCTGTGCAGCCTTCACCACTCTCTGCCAACAGCTTATTTTCTTAAAGCTGAGCTTTTTGTTCAGTAATAATGACAATATGTGATTATTTTTATCCTATGTGTTCTTTCACAGGCCGGTTTGTGTCAGCCGTGATATAACACTGAGTTGCCTGTTTTCTTGGTGATGCTCATTAACTTGAGTTCATCTCACTTTTCCCTCTGTCCTCCTCCCTTCAGAACCACTTGTGAGTAATTAATTAACTTGTATCACAGCCTTGTTAATAGCGTGACATTCACAAGTTGAGTCTGGGGATAATGCTCAAAAAGTGAAATGGAGGAATACTTTTTTCAAGGAAACTCACACTCATGTTTCCTCTTTTTTTTGTTTTCGTCACCCCAGTCATATCTCTTCCCAGCACTCTGCCTTACAGGTGGAATCTCCCCAAGCCTGAGGCATAAACAGGCCACACTTTCTGGCAAATGAAGACAAAAACCATCCCTCACTGACCAAGAGAAACAGGAAACCTCACAGCACCTGCCTGAGGAAGTGAAATGAAAGCTGCCTTTGAATCGAGCTAAAAGAGTCTGCTGCTGCCTCACATCCTGCACCTGCGACTGTTTGGCAGCGACAAGCCTCCTGGTGTTGGATGAAGGAAAGCACTCACTGGGACGCTGTGAAAAGATCCATTCACAGCTAAATAAATCTTCTAACTCTTGTTTAACAGTTGCAAACTGCCTATAAACTGAATGCACACAATTAGGCCTGGGGTTCAGTGCTGATCATTTACATCGGCAAATAAAGGAGAGATGGAGAAGCATGTGAGCTTCTCCTCAAGGTGGAAACCATTTTTCTGACATACTTTTTGGCTCTAGTCGGGCCTTCAAAAATCATTCCCAGATGAAGCAGGCAGCAGGCTGAGGCTGCAGTGTAAACATGGAGCAACAAAAAAGAAGTCGTTCCACAGGAACATGTCTGTGCAAGAACTTATTGACTTTCCTATCGTGGGTATTGTACAAAGAAGTTCCACAGTTTACAGCTTCTGGAGAAAGTATTGTGTTGGATGTTGAATTGTTTGATTTCTTAAGTGAATGGACATCTGTCTGTCACTGTGATGAGTGAACTTTAATCTGATTAAAGCACCTCGGTGGACAAAAACCTACATCACTGACATTTATCAGTGTTCATTATCACCCACTGACATTAATTACTGAAGGCAGAGAGAAAATGGTTTTTGCTGGTGACTGTGTGTGTGGTCCTGTCTGGTAGAAGAATTGGTCACGAAACACAGAAAATGTATGTAATATTATATATATATATATATATATATATATATATATATATATATATATTTATTTTTTAAATAAATAGTTGGATGTACCTTTATAATGTCCACATCGAATTCACCAACAAAAACACAAAATGACAATTACATAAATTTTTACGAATATGAAGTTAAAATTGGATGTGTTAGTGTAGAAGAGTAGTTCACAACACATACTATGAGTGTGATGTCCAACAATACTACATGCGAATATGCATTATTTTCAATCATTTTTAAGGTCAGGCCAAAACACCTACATCTGTCTTTTCTCAACATATAATAGAAAGGTTAGGGGCAATATGCATTCCTTTAAGAGACGTTAGGCCTTTATTTTGAAGGCTTAGGCTATTTTCATAACCTTTTGTACAATGCTTTAACTGTCAAATCCTAAGCTTTAAACCTTTTCTCCCTTTATGCTAAGTGATCTATAAATTAGTAGAAGTTTTATATACAACCATTTAGTTAAAGCTTAATATAGTGATGTTCAATAATCTACCATATTAGACTGCCATGCATTTCAAAATTAAAATTTCCAGTCTAGCCATATTTTGACACTGATGAACTCCTTGTAGTCATTAATGACCGTTTGATTTAAGCGTATCACATTATTACGCAGTATTAGCAGCTCGGCTAAGATCCTTGGACTCAGTAGCTCGAAGTTTATTAGCTTGCACAAATCTCTGATAATGAAAAGAAGTAGACAATCTAGCATTTTGTGAAAGTAATTAACATGGTTTATTTTACCAATGTGCCTAAACGTAATTATGCATTTAGAATCTTGACTTTCCTAATTGTCTTTATGTAAAACAAAAACAACCCTCTTGATATTTTTAACATTGACCATTTCTGTCTAAAAATGAATAAATGTCAGTCTTTGTTTCAAACTCGTATAGAAACACACACGCACACACAGGAGTACTTACACTTGTGTAAAACTATTTGAGTGGTTTACAGCTTTTTAAAACAACACTGTCAAAATTCTCCATTCCCATTATCCAATGTTAAGAATAAATGCACCCCTCTGCATCCTGCTCTCTCAATACTGTCTCTTAAATGTGCATATCTACAGGCCTTACCTGCATAAGTGGTAACCAGCTCACTCCACAAAAGCTCTTTTGCTACCAAACCCCAAGTGCTGTGAAGTAGTTTAATGTGAACGTGTACCACTCCAGTGCCCTAAAAGTCTTTGTCCACTGGGTTCCTCGATGGTGCTTTGCTTCTAAAGGACTTAATAAATAAGCTAACTAATTAGCTACTTCACAGAGGCCTCTTCACAGGCCCACTTCAGTTTAAAAATAACTTTAATTGGTGGTTTTTCACATTGTTCTGCTTGTGTATCATTTCTAAAAAATATATATTTAAAGTTACATAGTTTGACAGGAAAGAGGCGAGGTACGTTTGTTTTCTTCTCACAGCAACAAACATTAGCACAAGTTTGAAGGTAATTCTGGATGAAATGGCTACAGAACAGAGCAAATGCTGGATGTTTGTAACTCGGTCTTGTGTCAGTATTATTATGTCCTTTGTATGTCCCGCTCACTGAACCATCAATCAGATTAAATATCAGTGCTAGTCATGTGTGCCTTGTTTAATTTGAAGCCAATAAATACCATCATAATTTCAGTGTTAAAACATTTCCTAACTCTCTTAAAAATTAATCTTTTTTTTTCCAACATGGATGAGCATGATGAGAGGGAGGAAAGATTTATAACATCTCCAGCGTTTGAAAGTTTTATTGGTTTTAGAGTTACACAAAGGGTTTTAACAAAGATAAGCTAGTTCTACTCAGCTTACAGTATCCTAAAAATTTAACTTGTAAAACTTATCATCTCTAAAATAATATGCAACATTAACAGCGTTCACTCAACACTGATATTACTCCTTATAACTTCAGTCCTACAGATGAGGGACGTACTTTTAGTCGACCTTTAACATGTATGTTTCTGGTGAAAACAAATTAAGATTATTTTATTGAAGAGGACTCTATTGTTCCCGTTTCTGAATTTAAACTTTGCCAACTAAATAATAAAAATAGGAGCCTCGGAGCAGCACTCTCACCTCCTCACTTCCTGAAAAGCAAATTAAACAATCTGATGGAATAAATGAAGTTGGTTTTAATTTTTTTAAATATTTGAGTCGACTCTAAAAACCTCAGCAGCTGACCCTTGTAAGATCTTAGTGCGTAGTCTGGTAAAAAACAAATAATAGTTTATATTTGATTAAAACATGGGTTTTAGAAGCATTTTAAGCAACACCTTTAAAAGGCTTTATTTGTTCTGTAATTTCTAATACTTTTCATGCAGGATTCATCTGTGTTTTGTCATGTTTTTTATTTGTGATTAAGTTAGTCTGCGTTTGCGTTTTGGTGTAAATTCTGTAATTTAGCTGTTTGCGTAAACTTTTTTAAAGCACAATTATTTATCAGAGACATGAAGGTGCTTCTTTTTTTATTTATTTATAAGAAAAATTACTTCAGTATGTGACACAGCAACACAATGACCCAGGTGATCTGATAGTGTTAGTTGGGATGCAGAGGCCAGTACAATCAAATATACAGCTGTGCTATGCTAGTGATGCCACTGGTCCCAGATCCCACCTCAATCCAAGCCTGGATCTGACAGCTAACATTTCTCCCAATCCTCCATGGTTTTATGGTTGGCTTGTATTTTAAAAATCCTCTTGCAGCATGTTCTTTTTTGGGGTTGCAAACAAGCAAGTTGCTCATTAGGAGCTTAAATAAAACATTAAATAAAAGTGTGCAAACCATTTCAGTTGCAGTGCCAGCAAGTCAGGAGGAGCATTCTAATTGTTATATTGTCTCTTTATCTTATTCAAGACTGGGGCTTG